GAATACGAGATATTTGTTTTTTTCATATATACGAAGAGAGAAAGGAAGAAAAACATTTTTATCGTTAATAAAATTTTCTTGAGAAAGAAACATTCTCACTTGAGTTAAGTATTGTGTAAGCACATGGTTTATTACATTTTGAAACTATAATTATTACATTGATCAATTTATTCAACAGCAATGGGAAATAATGAATCGGGAATGTTTGATCGACCACAAGATGGTGTCAAGAAATTCGGTCAAGATAATAAAAAACAAGATGAAGCAACCGTTGAACAAATGGCTATAGTATTAGGTTTACATAAACATGGCAAAGAACCTGTAACAAATTTACGCGGTGATAGAAAACAAATTGAAATTGATGGTATCACTTATGAAGTAACACAATTTGTTAATCGTGGTGGATTTGGTCAAGTTTATAAAGCCCAAGATCGAAAACGTAATCGTGCTGTAGCATTGAAAATAATGAGTAATAAAATCGGAATGCAAGATGAAATTAAAAGTGAAATACATTTTTTACGTTTAATTAAAAATATTGATATAGACAATCATCCCGTCATTGAATATTATGCTTGTAAATTTACAAGAGAAAATATTTTTATTGCAATGGAATTAGCTTCTTGTGATCTTTTATCTTTTTGGTTTCATAATACAATTCGAACAGATACTCAACAAAAATTTATTTTTGGTCTTATTATTATTATTTATGTTTTACGTGCATTGATTTTTCTTGAAAAATTGAATATTATTCATGGAGATATAAAACCACAGAATCTTGTTATTGTTCAAAATTCTCAACGTTTTTATCTTAAATTAATTGATTTTGGTACTGTTGAAAAAATGAATACAAAATGTGCACAAATAACAGTTGATGCAAGTAAAGCTTATACAGTATATTTTGCTTCACCTGAATTTTTACATCGTGATTCAAATCATATTATATCACGACATCTTCATAAGAAATCAGATGCATGGGCAGCTGGTGTAATGTTTTATGTATTATTCTTTGGAAAAGTACCATGGAAAGATGAACATGATTATGAAAATTTTTGTAATGATTCACATGCTCGAGATATAATTGTACCACGTGAAGGTGGTTATAAATCAATTATTGAATTATTATTAAAGAAAAATCCGGATGAACGTTCAAGTGCTAAAGCAACTTATCTGCAAATGAAAGGACATCCAACTCTTGGTCCAATTATTAAATCATTTCAACAACATTTTTGTTCTGTAGATGATGTATGTTATATGAGGATACCCGATAATGTTCGAGATGAACTTGGTAAGAACGAAAAAATTAATATTTATATCATTTATGTTTTATTTTAGCTAAACTTCCACGATCAAGGCATTCTGTCAGTGGATCAAGTTCATCCGTGGGAAAATCAACTTGTAAGTATAATAAATGTTTTTTTAAGATTTTCTTCGATGATCAAATTCTGGTTAAGATTTGCATCATTTTTCAACATAAGTTTCTTTTTATAAATAATGAAATAAAAGATTATATTCTATTTTCTATGAATAGTGGGTTCACGTCGTCCATGTCGATATGGTCGTGATTGTTATAGGTATTGTCCAAAAAATATTTCTTTCGTAAATTATTAATGATATGATTTTACAGGAAAGATTTTGAACATCGCAAGGAATTTTCACATCCAGGTGATTCAGATTATCCTGTATCGACTGATCATACTGAAAAACCTAAATGTCGTTATGGAGCTGATTGCTATAGGTATATATTTATTTCTTTTTTTTTAAATTAATTATCATGCGTGTTCTTATTTTTTGAAGAACTGATTATGAACATCGAAAAAAATATTCACATCCTGCTGATTCGGATCATGATCATACTGGAAAGCCAAAATGTCGTTATGGAAAAGCATGTTATGAGTAAGTGAAAATTTTCAAACAGAATTAATCATATTTTGCTTCTTCTTTTTAGTAAAAGTCTTGAACATCTCAGAAGGTTTTCACATCCGAATGATTCTGCAAAAGAAAAATGTCGATATGGTAGTGCTTGTTATAAGTATGTTTAAATTATATTAAAACTTTATTATTATCTTAATCAATTGAAATTTATAGGACGAATGATCCTGAACACATGGCAAGATTTTCACATGATTAAATTTACTCCTTATATATATATAACATTTATTTTTGCTTCATTCTTTGTATTTTGCTAATTCATTATAAAAATCTAGAAATATGTAAATAAAATAGTTTATTCATATATAGTATACAGTTTGTATTTCATCGAGAATATCCAAAGATTGATTATATATATATCTACAAAAGTTTATAGATCTTGTTAGATGAAAATCATTTAGTTATTTCGAAAAAAAATATGTCTCTAAGTTTCCATTGGTATGATTTAACGATATCGATGAAAATGAAAGTATAAATGATGTTTTTTTTATTAAAAAAAACGGCGGTTTGAGTAGCCCAGTCACTTAACTCACACTTCTACTGATGACGCAAAAAAAAAGAAAAGAATATTGTTTATATGTTTCAACTTATTATATGGACTGACGAGGGATGTAAAAACTTTTGCACAATATTATTTAGTAGAAAGCGCTGCTAACGTAGATTGGAAATATTTATTTTTTTTATAAAACACGTCGTCGGCGATGAAAAAATGTATAATATTTTTTCAAACACTTGTTCATCGCCCGCTATTAAAGATAAAGTAGCAATTAGCAGCTATTTCAAGAAAATATCATTTATAATGTAGGAAACAACTCGAATGTTAATGGAAATTTGAAATAAAAAAAACAATAACAAACATGACAATTACCATAGTTTCATCAGCATTCATTTCTTTAAAGATAAATCAATTGAGTTGATATTCGGTGTGTATATAAAGACTAATATGAAAAGTACTAAACCAACTGATGTTTTTCATACAAAAAAAAAAGATTAAAATTTGAAAATAAGTGTGATTTTTGTTTTAATCATAAAATACATTATCAAGTTATAAAATTGTGAAAACATGATGTGTCAGATGTTGTAAACGCATTAGAAGAAGAAGAAAAAACATGAAGGATGCTAATTAGTTACTTCTGTCCGTTTTATCATGAATGTAAACATCCTTGAATATGAGAAGAATATATTACTTTTCTAAGATACTTATTGATAAAAGAAAATCTATCAAAAATAATATCTAAATATTTTTCAATTACAAATATTTTGTTAATGCAACTAAGTATGCAAAATATGCATGATATCTTCATTTTAATTGCTATACTTCGGAGTAAAAGCATTTATTTTATAAGTGTTAGAAAGATGTTTACTTCTCTCTTTTCAAGTATAATGTATTTTCTTCAATATATTTATTAGTTTTTTTCTCTATTTAATATCAGTGTTATATATTCATTTTATTTCATTATTTTCTCAACGTTGTTACTCCTTTATAAAAAAAAAGGTAATATACATTGACTAAAGAAGAATAGAAGCAAATTGTTAGGATGATCGTCAACTATTGGCAATGGTTCTTTCTTTTCTACTATCTTTTATTTATTGGTCCACCTAAAGTATATTCCATAGCGAATAATTCATTATCAGACTGCCAAAGAGTCGCTTCAGCATTTCGTTCAACAATCAATTACACAGCTGCTAACATTACAGCAACTACTGGAATCAATGTAACCTGTCCGGCTACCGGTATCGCATGTCCTAGTCAGAATATTACTAGCGGTTGTATATGGCAAAGAAAATTAAGTGCCATTTGTCGAAATGCTAGTGGTATCATTAAAATTCGTATACAAACGAATGGTTTACCACCACGTTGTGCCAATGTTCCTATGGGTAGTTTCGTTGAATTAAATGTTGATTTTGAAGTTAATTTTAATCCTGATGTGAATATCAATTCACCTAATTACAATTTGAATAATGCATCGTCGCTCTCTCAAACTGTCTGCACATTAACTAATCCATCAATGGTACCATTAGCATCCAACTTTGTTAATTATGGTGCAACAAATCTCGACACTGCAACAGGGGTATCAGTAGATGGTGTAATGATTTTTAGTCCAGATTCAGCGAATAATGTTGATCCATTTTATCCACCACCGGGTTCACCAGCTGAATCAATTGATTCGTGTCTTGCTCATTGTCAAGTAAATGGTGTATATCATTATCACATAGGTTCTGGTTGTATGCTAGATCCTCCGATCGGCCCTATTACACCCTGTGCTAATAATGATTGTGGAACAAATATCGCCAACTACTCTATATCTTCGTTTTACAATCATCAAACGTTAACAACAATTGGTATTGCCAAAGATGGTCATGCTATCTATGGGCCTTATCTATCAACAAATACACGAGTAACATCGGGCTTTGATGTTTGTAATGGAATGTTTTATGACTCCACAGGTAATTATGCTTACTTTGCTACGTCAACGTTTCCATATCTTGTCGGATGTTTTGGGCCAGGAAATTATCCATCTGTTGGTCCAACTTGCACCACTAATGGAGTATCATCCTATACTATGTCGTCCTATGCCATGTTATTCATGAGTAATTCGACTACTCCTGCAATATGGTCTTCAACGAAACCATTATCAAATTATTCAATGACAGCCTCACCATTCTCAACGCAAATGCCCCAGTTAAACATTTCAGTTATGCCACCAACATTAATGCCACCATCAAACATTTCAATGATACCACCATCATCAATGCCACTATCTAATGTTACAATGATGCTACCATCAATGCCACCATCAATGCCATCATCAAACGTTACAATGATACCACCGTCAAATGTTTCAATGATGCTACCATCAATGCCACCGTCTAACTTTACAATGATGCCCCCATTATCCTCAATGCTGCCACCATCAATGCCACCATCAAACGTTTCAATGATGCCTCTATCATCGATGCCACCGTCAAATATTTCAATGATACCACCATCAAACGTTACAATGATGCCACCATCAATGCCACCATCAAACGTTACAATGATGCCACCGTCTAACGTTTCAATGATACCACCATCATCACCAACACCAATGCTACCGTCAAACGTT